TTGGGGGATGCAGGGACCAGGGGATGGAGGGTGTTGGGGGATGCAGGGACCAGGGGATGGAGCATGTTGGTGGCCACGGGGACTGGGGGAAGTGGAAAACAGGGCATGGAGGCTGCTGGGGAACTCAGGGATGAGGGGATGTGGAGGGTGCTGGGGGACATGATGGGCAGGGGGTGAAGGGTGCTGGGGGATGCAGGGACCAGGGGATGGAGGGTGTTGGGGGATGCAGGGACCAGGGGATGGAGCATGTTGGTGGCCACGGGGACTGGGGGAAGTGGAAAACAGGGCATGGAGGCTGCTGGGGAACTCAGGGATGAGGGGATGGAGGGTGTTGGGGGACATGGGGACCAAGGGAATGAGGACACAGGGACCTGGGGTGAAGGGTGTTGGGGGACACAGGGAGCAGGAGATGGAGGGTGTTGGAGGACGTGGGATCCAGGGGTGGAGGGTGTTGGGGGACACAGGGACCAGGGAATGGGAGGTGTTGGGGGATATGGGGACCAGGGGGTGGAGGATGTTGGGGGACATGGGGATGAGGGGATGGAGAGTATTGAGAAACATGGGGATCAGGGGATGGAGGATGCAGGGACCAGGGGACAGAGGGTGCTGGGGGATGTGGTGACCAGGGGTTTGAGGACATGGGGACCAGGGGATGGAGAGTGTTGGGGGACATGGAGACCAGGGGATGGAAGGAGTTGGGGGACATGGGGTGGCCCCAGAGGAGCCGGGAGCCCAGTTTTCCCCATCCTGGCCCTGTCAGCGCTGTCAACCCCCCAATCCAGTCCCCACCTTGTGAGTCTCTCAGTTGAGAGCCCAGAGGCCTTTATAAAGTCACCAAGTGGGGTCACCTCTCTCTGCAGCCCCTGGCTTGTCCCACGTGGCCTTTCTGAGCTTTTCCCCCCGATGGTGAGGGCTAGGAACCCCTTTCTCAGCACCGACACCCCAGTTTCTTTGGCAGCCCCAAGCTCTGGCATCCAGTCCTTGTTTTTAAACCCTCTGCCTTGCAGCCACGGTGCTGGGAGATGTGGCACGTGTCCCCAGTGTCCCCACGGTCTCAGGGGACAGGGCTGGCTGTGGAGGAGGGGAGGAAGAGCCAGAGCAAGCTGCCCACGGGGTCAGGCTGGTCTCTTGACTCCTCCATCCCGTTGCTTTCCAGTTCTTCATCCTGGTGAGCCTTGTCTTCCTCACACAGCTCATTGGGGCTGTTTTCTTCCTGGTGCACTGGAAACAGGTACGTCCCCGCGCCCTGACAGCACCCCTCTCCTCCCTCCCTCCTGCCATGGCCCCAGGGGACGGGGATGGCTGTAGGGACACCCATTCTCACCCTCATCTTCATCACCAGTGCCCTGACGCAAGCCTGATATCGGGTGGGTGGGTCCCCATGTCCCCTCGAAGAGAGCTGGCGCCCTGGGGAGGGTTAGGGTGGGTGCGCAGCCCCCAGAGCCCCATCCCTGGTCCCCCAGTGCTCACTGATGGCCCCCATCCCACAGATCCAGCCCGAGGTCTTCCTCTCCGAGCTGCGGAGGAACTACCGCGGGGATGAGGGCACTGAGGTCTTCTCCACCGCCTGGAACACCCTCATGGTCACGGTGAGCAGCCAGGAAGCTCCTGGTGGGCTACAGGGGGGATGGGGAGCGCCCATGGGACCTGCCAAGGGTGACCCCGAACCCAGGCGAGGGGCTCATGGACCCCGGACAGACACCGAGCTCCGCGCTGGGCTGTTCCCCCTCCCTCCATCACATCCCCAAGTGAGGTCCCCCTTGAATTTTGACCACATCTTGATGGCATTTCCCTTTTGTTTCAGTTCTCGTGTTGCGGTGTTTTAGGACCCGAAGATTTTGGGAATGGCTCCCTCTTCCAGGAGCTGCACCCGGGGACGCCCTGGCCGCGGGCGTGCTGTGCCCGGGCCGGGCTGCTGCAGGCGGGCGAGCTGCGGGGCTGGGAGCAGTGCTGCCAGAGGAGCCCCGGCTTCATCCACGACCAGGTGGGACACAGCCCTGCCCCGTCCCTCTCCCTGTCCCCAGCACCTCCCAGGCTCGGGGCGGGGGGGCCAGCACCGTCCTCTGACAGAATCACAGAATCTTAGTGGTTGGAAGGGACCTCTGAGATCATCGAGTCCAACCACAAAAAAAAACCCCAAAAAAACCCAAACCAAAACAAAAAACCAAAAAAAAACCCCCAAAAACCCAACCAAACAAATAAGCTCCAGCCACTCTTCCCCAAGTCTGTAGCGTTGTCTGGGGTTGTTGTGACCAAAATGCAGGACCCAGCACTTGGCCTTATTAAACCTCTGCCCCCGAGCTTTAGCGACGCTGCTCCTCGGTGCCTCCCCAGGTCCCCAACTCGTCACGGTGCCCCCCGATCTCACCCTCTGAGCTCCCTGAGGCCGTGGGGAGCACAAACGAGCCCTGTCCATCGTCTCTCTCCCCCTCTCCTTCCCCCCAGGGCTGCTTCTCCACCTTCGGCAGGACCTTGCAGAACTACATCTCCCTCCCCGGGACCTGCAGCTTGGCCGTGCTGGGCATCGAGGTGCTGAGCGGGGACAGGGGGGGACAGGAAGGGATGGGGTGGGTGGGAATTTCACTGAATTTCACTGAATTTTTAGAGTTGGAAGGGACCATAGAGATATCTAGTCCAACTCCCCTGCTGAAGCAGGATTGCCTAGAGCTTGTCAGAGC